GTATTATAACAATCTCTTAACGGTTTTTGCAAAGCAAGAACATGTGTTGACTTGACACTCCTTGACAGATTAGTTGGTGATAGTCCCCCACTTATGAACATATGGCAGAATCAATTTACTTCAAACATTATTCAAACATTATTCATTGGTTAGATGAGGGTTAAGAGGCAAAAAAGATTTTAGATTTGGAGACTCCTGTTATGATAAGGAGTATGCGAAACTTTCTTAGTGTATTCAACAGCAATATACAAAGAAGGTTTGAGATTTTAAAAAGCACAAGAATGTCCTCTTATGTCTTTAAACACACTTCTTTTCAGTGTAAAAAAAATGTCTGGGAAATTATTGTGATATTCCAATAGTCATTTGGTAAGTAGGGCCACACAAAGCACACAGTGGAATTGGTAAGGAAGATTTAGGTAGATCAACTACTTGGCCACACCCAGCATGTGTGTTCTGATGGGAGTGATCCCTTTCAGAAATCCCATTAACCTTCCATTGATTCTTACCCACTGCCTACTGTTTGACAGTTAGAGGACCATAAAATATCCCCAAATTTTCAACAAGTTATAAGATCACAGTGTTAGCGTTTAGATCTGGGTACACCCTGATACACATTCATTTCCTATTTTTATTATAGCAACAATAGAAATCAGAAACTGTCAAGTTGTTATTTTTATGTAGTGTTTGTTACAAATCATTTAGGACATTTTAATGTTCATTTGTAGTACTATAGTGTTCTTTTGGTACAATGTTAAAACATTCAAATAGTAAAAGATAAATGAATGCTGCTTAAAAAATTATTCTTTCTGACTTTGCCTTAAATATGCCATTCTGGAAACATTCTCTAGTCTCCTAAACTAGATTTTGTCTCCTTGATGTGAAAATCTATACTTTCTTGTAATAATATTCATATTTTATTACAGATTCTTATCAGATACCTGTATTTCTTTCTGATCTGTTTTCTACACTGTAAAAGTCACCAATTTATCTCTAGACCTTCTCTCCGGGCCTGATACACAGTGGAGCAGTTGGGTTAAGTCATTTGTGGAGCAACAAATAAAGATGATTTTGCTTTTGACTACTGACTATTATTAAAATCCCTTTAATAACTTTTATGTATTTATTCATTCCAGAAGTAGATGGAAGTGACCCTGAAAACTCTTGAATACTGTACAATTGTTAGGTGTTCTTTTATTTATCTCTATAATCTTGTCCTTTACTCTCTTCTTTATCAAGAACAAAGGGTATAAATGAAAAGATTTGGCTTTACCTTACTAGCTATGTGGCCTTAAATAAATTACTTACCTTTCTCATCTTAACCCTTCATACAGTTTAAATAGTGGCCTTTATACCACACAGCTTGGGGCAGGATTAAATAGAACAGTGTACACAAATACTTTGGCTATAGTAGATATTTAGTAAAACTTACTTCCATTATTTTGGATTAGGAGGAAAATGGACTAAAAAAGATATCACATCCTAAGACTCATCCTGTCATAATGGTGCACTGCTCGGTAAAGTAGATATGACAGTGCTAGAGTGGAAGGCTTCTTCTGTGCTTTTAAAAAACTCCACCAAATAGTGTGCTATGATCTTATGGTAGGAAACCTCATGAAATAGTCCTCTGTCTAGAGACTCGCTGACAAAGAATAGCTGTACTTTAATGGCCAGAAATCCACCAAAAACAGACTGGAAGTTGTGACTGTTAATCCTGCCATATCAGCTTCATTGATTAAGAAACACTTAGCAGTCACATGGTACAGTACACTCCTGGGTTTGCCTGGGCAGGTCCTGGAGGCATGCCCCTGGTTCTGCGTATTGTCGCTTGCCCATTTCTCTCTGGCATTCACCTCCAGCGCTGCATTCCTGCAGGTGTGAACTAAGTATCTTTGCTCCTCCACACCCTTCTACCATGTTACTTCTGCCTGGAAGCCAGTCAACCACAGACTGAGTTCCCTGAAATGAACTAAATTAAACCTCTACTTTAAGTTGTGGGTGCAAGGTATCGTGTCTGAGCAATGAGAACACAGACCAATAGAGAAATGTTACCTTCTGGCAGTGCGTATAGGTCAGGTGCCTAATTGGTGAGGTTCAGCTATAGTTTTGAATGCTCTCAACATCTTAATTTCTTCATGTGTAGCATGGCGCCACTGATGGCTGTGGTGAGGATCAAGTGAGTGGGATGTGTGGGTGTTCAGCATCACTCTTGGCAGAGAGCATGCACTCAGTGGAGACTGGCTTTTAAAAAACGAAGTGCAATACAAACTTAGACTTTGCTCTCTGTTGTGGAATTTATTGTTAAAAGCTCTAATGCCTTCACTAATGGAAAAGAAAAAAATGTCTTTAGTCAACAAATTCTAAAGCTGGTTTTAGGCACCAGAATAAATCATTGAACACTTAGTAGGATACAATTATGAGTACTGGCTTTGAAATAACTATGAAAAATGGTTTTGTTTATTCTGAATATAAGAGGTTTTGTAGGAATCGATAGTAATGCATGTACTGCCACTAATAAAAAGTACTGCTTTTAATGACAAATATATTAATGTTAATTGATTTTTGTTTTGTTTTGTTTTTTGTTTGGTGGTTGTGGTACTCAGAATTGAACACAGAGCACTGTACTGAGCTACATTCCCGGCCTTTTTCATTTTTTATTTTGAGCCAGAATCTTGCCAAGTCACTGAGTTACCCAAGCTGGGCTCAAATTTATGATCCTCAGTATCCCAGAGTTCTGTGATTACAGTCATGTACCATCACACTTGGCTCTTATTGTTAATTCTGAGAGAAAATAATCAGCGTGAGCTATTACTATGTTTCTATTCCCAAAGATCATACTTATTTTTACCTATTATACATGGTTGAAAATAGTGAAAGAATATCTCATCCTGCTTTTAAAGAGTATTGACAACAGAACTGTCTTTCCAGTCCTAATTTTTTAAAGTGCAGCAGTGATTTAAGGATGTGGCAAATATTTAAATTAAATAAAAACTCAGTACAGTAAAAGACACATTGCAAAGAATGATGGGATGTAATAGAAGTGACAGAGTTTACTATTAGGAAGGCTAATAGTAATGTATCTTTTACTGTAACAGGTTTTTAAATCTAAACATGTGTCATATCTGTAAGTTTTGATCACCCCCCATTGGTCAAAAGTTTATGGCATTTTCTGTCAGGTGAAAACATAATGGTGTGTCCTCATTCACACCATCCACATTATTTACTAGGTCTGGAGTTGTGCAACTTCTGGTTCCTCCTCAAAGTCAAAATGACCACGAAAGGCAAATGTTTTGAAAAGACTCAGAACATCGAGGTAGCCTTGACAGCACAACTAACGACACATGTGAAAGACTTTCAGAACTATTTCAGAAAATGGCCAAAACAAACAAACAAACCACCCAGAAAACCAATGGAATATGTGTTCAAAGTGAAGGGAAGTATCCTGAGGGGGATTAAAGGTGATGTGTCTTTTACTGTAATACATTTTTAAAATTTAAATTTCACTACATGTTTTGACCATACTCACACTTTACATGGTATTGCATTAGTAATCCTGTGTGTGTACTGATCTTTTAGGGTGTGTACTGGCATTGATCTCTCTCTTCTGTCAAGGCTTAGCAGATGTCACAGCTGCTGCCTTTCACAAACAACCCTTGCATGATTTTCCTCCCTCATAGATAGGGATTAATGGTCTCACATCACGAAATTATTTAAGAATAGACAATTGTCTCTCACAACATTAGAAGAGTTGTGTTCATTTTTTCTGAAGTTGTTCTCCTCAAGCCTATGAGATGATACCAGACGTGGCATCACAAGATCAACAACTGCTGCACCTACAAGACCACACGAACCAGCCATCCTAGGATGGAGCCTCCAACCTGCTCACCGTGCTATAGAAGTCAGCCACTGTAAAATCTGAGGTGCCCGATGGGCTAACACAGACCACAACCATGTCTTTGGAGAAATAAAAGTGTCGAAAAATACAGTTGTATCATGGGAAAATATGCAGATCTCTAAGAGTCTAATGGTAGCAGCCATTATTCAACATTTCTGAGAAACCCCAAGGCTTTCCATGAAGAATCCTTTTGTAACCCAAATTTGAACAAATGGGCAGGCGCCTATCACGTGAGTGGGCATTGCTGCCATGTGGTCAGTGCCTGGGAAACACTGCACCATATACAGGTGAAATGTATTTCCCAGCTTCCATGTAAATGTGACTAGTCCCTCAACATCTACAAAGCACATAATACACGTAAAGTATTTTGAAAACAGTGATTTTCTGTTGGTATCCAAGATCACAAAATCTAGTTTCTCACTAAATGTAAATGCAAACATCCAACTTCCCCAAATAGAAGGTACTGTAAATATGTGTTAAGATAAAATGATAAAATCACAGTACATGTTGCTTTTCAAATAATTTATTCACTAATTTTTTTTAATTGCAACTCAGTTTACCTTTTAGGATTACTTTGTCTATTTTCATCCAATTTTCATAAATTGTCACCACTATGCATACATTTTCCCCAGGGATATAAATGGTCCCTTTTCTCTAAACATCAATTTATTCTTTGAAAAATTATTTTTGAGCATTTAAAGGTTTCTATATTTAGGCTAAACACTGGAAATACAATAACAAATAGGAGCAGGCTTCAGCTCAGGTATGTAAAGTACTCAACCTAGCAGAGTTTGCAAAATGTGTTTATGATCAAATTTGCATGTTAGCCTTTTCTGGCAGTCATATCCATTCAATTGCTCAAAAACTCCATCGATTTATACATGCATAAAAGTTTCATTTTTCATCTACTACATGCTGAGGGTTTTCACAAAAACCCTGTGAAGTAGATATTATGCTTCTACAAATCACAATTTAGCCATGCAAAATGAAATATGTTCACATGTTCACTCAATTTTTAAACTTGTAATTGAGATAATAGTTTTTGAAGATATTCAACCATGTCTTAAAAGTGTATATATCTAAAATTTTCACCTGGAAAGGTACTTACAGATTTAGTATTCCCTTCAATAACTTCTTCTTCCAGGGGTTCAAGTTTTAGATCCTTCAGAGGACGAAATGGCAGGGAAACCAAAAGAACAATGACAATAAACACCCAGAAATTAAATAATTAAAACAAACATCATATATTCATATATTTTTTTTTCGTGGTTAATATTGTACCCAAAGAACTTTATTGTCTAAATAAGATGAAAACATTCTGATTTTAAAAATCGAGAAGGAAATGGCAGATTAGGGAGGTACAGAATAGATACTAGATAATTAAAACAACACCATAAATTCAAAATAATTTTGATTTTCAAAAATTGAGGAGGCAATTACAAGAAAAACAGCATAAAACAGAAATTAATTAAAGCAAACATAATAGATTTATATATTAACTTTTTCATGGCTAATATTGTACCATAATAATCTCATTATCTAGATGAGATGAAGTAATTCTGATTTTCAAAAATTCAGTTGTTTTTCTAGGCGTGGTGGCCCATCCCTGTAATCCCAGCACTCCAGAGGCTGAGGCAGGAGGATCATTGTGAGTTTGAGACCAACCTGGACTACAAAGTGAGCTCAGGGTCAGCCTTAACTGCACAGCAAGATGCTGTCTCAAAAAGACAAAGAAAAAAAATTTAATTGTTTCAATAAAGCCTCATTTTGCTCATTTATCAATTGTGAGAAGATATTTCAGATGCATTCAATTTGTTATTGCTCTAGGTTGATTCCTATGTTGCCATCATGGAGCAAAAAGGAAGAGTGACATACATTAAAACAGAGTTGAAGGACAGAAAGGTAAGAAAAGAAAATTTTAGAATAACTGTGCCTAACAGGTTGATTTTTTTCTGCACTGAAAACTGTTGCATTTCTGCTGTTCTTACTAGAGAGATTAATCTATTGTTATAATACATCTACATTGCAACACACATTTTGCTTTACTAAAAAGAAGTGAATGAGAAGGTAGATGAAAATACTGTTGATGTTTACTAAAAAGTGAAGGACTTGGTTATGATTTAGCCTCTGGGATGACTGGTGAATAACAATAACGTCCTAGTGGAACCAAGTGTATATTCTCCAAGGACATCATTGTATGAGTACATTCCTCATATTTCTTCCAAGTGAAGATTATGCATAATAATTCCTTCAGTTAGATAAGAAACAAACTGAAAGCTGCAGAAATCCAGACTACATGAAATAACATGAACATGTTAACAAGAGAGCAATGTGGACCTAGAGGTACTGCTCTGAGACCGCAACTTTGAGCAGGTTATTTACCTTGTCTGTGATTCACTTTTACTGATCCTTTGCTTTACCTTCTCTCTCCCTCAGTCTTTCTCTAGCTGGCTTTTTCTTGTCTTTCACAGCTCAGCTCAAACGTAGCCTCCTCAAAGACATCTTCCCAGACTGCTTTGAGCATCTGACCTCTTCACTGCAATCACATTGCCCTGCTTTTTTCATAGCACTTTCCACTATCTGATTTCATCTTGTTTCTTAAACGTGTTTACTTGTTTTTTCTCTCTATTTCTTCAAAGACAAGGATCTTACCTGTGTTGAGCACCACCATATTCCTATTGCCACAATGGTGGCAGACACACAGTAGATACTCAACAAGGCTTGAATAAATGAATGGTTGGATGAATGCCACCTCAGAAATCATAGTTTTTTTCACAAAGGCAAAGGTATGTAACGAATACAGATGTGAACTGAATATTAAAAAGTATTTTACAGATGGACACTGTAACATAGTAATGTTCTTGACTGCTCTTTGCCTAATACCAGGTCAGGGATACTTTTCAGTTCTACCTTCTCTGATCTAAGGTATGGAAAAGTTACATTGTGTGAGTGTGATATTCTGAGCTACTCCTGTTCAACTGAGGATGCCCTATGACCTAATACACTGAGTACTTCATGAAAAATGAGAAGTCTTTATTGTTGTCCTTGTTGATGTTTTGTTTTACATTAAAGGGATTTTTTGCAGGATTAAACAAAACATAACATGCCCATAAATTCTTACACAGTATGAGGACAGAAGGAAAACCTGAAGAAACTTGCAGAAATGCTATTTTCCCTGGAGATGAATGGTTCCCTGGTTTGGTTCACAGTACCTGATCATAAATACTTAATAGGCAGAAAAGATAACATATGTCCCTCTGCAGGCACACTTCTTTTTAACAGGAGATCAAACCTAGCGCTAAACCACTGCGGGAAAGCAAGAGAGTCAGCAGCGAGATGACATGCACTTCGCCACTGTTTGGCAGTTGGGTAGTTTTTCTCTAAAAAATGAATTCAGCTTAGCACAGAATATGTTGCAGCAGAAGACTGAACTTCCCCTGCTTTTTCACTTGTTAAGACAGCTCACGCTGGCTCCACACAGCTGGAACCCCACACCTGAAACCATCACACTGTACTTTCAACACACCTCTTGGACATTGTGCTTGAAATGAATCTCTTTCACAGGCAGGAAGAGAGACAAAAAGTCTACGAAAGAAAGAGACCTGACAATAACGTTTGGGGAGGAAAAAGGTATGACTAAAGTTTGAGCCATTCCTTTAAAAATAACTATATACATTTTAAACACCAAATAAAGACAGGCTGCCCAAGAATGCCAAAACTACTTTCAAATGCAGTTTGTGTTCTTTAACTGAATTCAAAGTTATTTAACAAAAGAACCATTATATTTTAGTAGGATTTAGTTTTCAAAAAGATGCCCTGGATTCCTAGACTTCTAATATTGAAAAACTAATTTTCCATAGCCACTAATTTTCCTAAGAATCAGCTTATAGATTAATTGATGGAAATAAGGAAGGAGAAAAGCTGATCTCCAGCCAGCTCCTAGTTTAGGTGTTTGCTCCAGTAGGAGGCCAATAAATTCAGCAACTGAAGACTCTGTGGTAGGGGGAATGGTACCCTCCAAGGAATTGAACCCCTTGATTGACCTCTTCTACAGAATCTCCTCTTCAGAGATCTTTCCTACCCATGGGACCTTGGAGTTCCATCTCTCTGGGGATGGCCCTTAAGACAAGGACCCTCTGGTCTGATTTCTCTCAAACTAACATCTGACTGGGTATTTCTGCCTATGGTTCCTATTAAACCTCGAACTACACAGATCTAAAAAACTGGTTCACCTTCTGATCTCACCTCAGAAATTATCTCTCACTCACCTCTCCTTTTCCTGTTAATGGGATAATTGTCAGTCAGGCTGACAGTCAGGCTCAAATCCTCACTCTATGTTCCCACCATACTCACTCAATGGTGCTGTTAACTTTACTTCAAGTCTTTCAAATCTGCCACTTTCTTTTCCCTTGTTAACTTAGTAGAGGTCTATCTCTTGCCATATCTAATGTGGGTGTGGGATACACAAGCTACTCTTTCTTGCCATTGTCTGAGATGGCTCTCTGGGGACTCTGAGTTCAGCATTTTCTTGTTTTAGTCCATTTAGCATTTACTTTAATTCACTTTGCATTTTTCTGTCCAATTTCCTAGTTGAAAGATATTTTTGGTTTGTTACTGACCTGTTAAAAAATAATAAGTGCCTCCTGTTAACTTCAAGACAAAGTCCAAATCTCTCAGTGGATTACATATGGACATTGATGATCTGGCCCCAACCATCCATTCATCCACCCATCCATCCACCCATCCATCCATCCATCCATCCATCAGTTCATCCATTCAAGTTCACTTATCACTACTTTCCTAAATGAAGACTGAATCAAGTTGATCTACTTGACCCTTGCTCATACTTCACTCCCTTGTCCAGTTGTTCTGTGTTTTACTTTCTCATAGCAAATATTACTTTGGTCATGAGTTTGTGAGCTGGTCAATATTTATTTTCACTTTAATGATAATGGATTTGCCTTTCCATGAATCATCTCTTCTCCTTTCCATACAATGCTCTCAGATTTTTTTTTTTTTTTTTGGTTGTTCTCTGGTACTGGGAACCGAACTCACGACCTTGCGCTTGCCAGGCAGACGCTTTTGCCACTGAGCTAAATCCCCAGCCCCCTGCTCTCAGATTGTTAATCAAGGTGTTCTCTCATCTTCCATCCAAGAGGCCAACATGTTACCCCAATGAGAGCACGTCAGTGCTCTCTCCTGAATGCATTCAAGACAAGAAGTAGAATCCTGAGCAGAGGGGCTGGGGATTTAGCTCAGCGGCAAAGCGCCTGCCTGGCAAGCGCAACGTCATGAGTTCGGTTCCCCGTACCGGAGAAAAACCAAAAAAAAAAAAAAAAAAAAAAGAATCCTGAGCAGAAAGTCAATAGACCGGAAATGGTTAGAGCTCATTTACTGCAGTGAAAATAGCCTGAGGGACTAAGTAATTCTTGTTCCCCACATCTTGGAAATTATATTGTCTCCCAACTTTTCCTAAATTCTCTAGACCAGCAGTCCCCAACTCGTTTGGCACAGGGAATACTTTCATGGAAGACTGGGTGTTGTGAACCCCTGCTCTACACAGTCTACTGATTCTTTGAGCACTTTCATAACCTTCCAAAAATTCTCAGTGTTATTAAATTAGAATGGTGATTTCTGTTGAATTCAGTCATCATTTTAGAAGTCCAACTTAAACCCTTCCTGCATGTGAGGAACTTCCCAAGGATCCCAGCTGACAGAAACCATTCCCTCAGGTGAACAATGTAGGCGTGCACCTGTTCCAATCCTTTGGCAAGGCGGAGTCAGGCTGCAAGTGTCCTGGAGCATTAGTTATGAGTTTTGTTCTGTGCTACCACACCTTAAAATTAATCTCTCTCTCTCTCTCTCTCTCTCTCTCTCTCTCTCTCTCTCTCTCTCACTCGCTCTCTCTCTCTATCTCTCCTGCTTTTTCTCTCTCTCTCTGAAGGCAGCTTATTTTTACAATTATAGTATGGATTCTTCAATGTCTGTGACTCTAACAAACATAAATGTTCCTTCTGTGGTGTATTCACAGAAAATACATTTTCTTACTAATTGACAAAGGTTGCCTATACCATCAAAGCTATTTAAGGGTAATATCACCTTAATAGCAGGACTTCTTGATCTGAGATGAATTAATCAATAAAATGTAATAACTAGGAACATATAATTTTAAAGAATTATCACATCCTAACTTGCTTGCTTACATCTTAATCTGCACGCTCACTAGGAAGCTTAACGCCAAAACCACCAATTAACATGATAGTTTCCAGAAGTCAAGTGTGAATTTTTTTTTTTTTTAGTGGACAGCACAGTCTTTCCCTGTATTTAGTTTTAAAGGTTCTCAAAATTTTATAACTTGGATGTTTCTAAAAGCTGTCATTAGTGTCACTAAAGCATCTGCCATCTATGTCACTTAGAAAACTTGAGTCAGAAAGTACAGTTGATTTATTAATTCTCAACCCTTTATCTTACTTTAAATGTAATTGGGAGCAGAGGGAGGAATTAACGTGAGCTTCTTTATTTCCTTTAACAAAAATAAAGGAAACCCCAAGAACTACTGACCAGAGTTTGATAGAATCACTGAGATCATGACTGTCATTCTAGCCTTCGGGCAGCCATGGATCCTGACACAATGAAGAATTAGCTCAGAATATCTTGAAAAGCAGGAAAGAGAAGATATAAGAGGAATCGCATACCTTCCTTTCCAGCCTATCAATTAATTTCTGGAGTCTGTTTATCTGGGTCATCCACTGGTTGTCTTCTTCTAGTAAGCCTTGGGGGAAATGACAAAGGCAAGACATGAAATTTTAGACAGAAGATGAACGCTTGATTATCCCTCCTTTTACCCTGAAGGAAGAAAACAGTGTTTTTGACTCATGAACACATTTTTAAAAATGTATTGCACTGAGTGCTTTCTAAGTTATTGGTTAGCAGAGATCCATACATCTTAATCGTTTTATTCCGACAGGCTGAGTTTTTATTAGTATACATAACAACAGACTATTGGCTACACTGTGACATTTTTGTAGGTGTACATAACATATTTTGATTATATCCAGCCCCCCGTTACTTCCCTGTTGGCCTCCCTTCCCCGACCCTTTCCTCTTCTCTAATAATCTCCCACAGGTCTGCTTTGTAATGTTGTCTGCATCAGCCTTTGATATTCAAGACAACAGATCCTGCTGAACCACGTTTACAATCCCATAAGGCAGTTGGTTTTCTTTTGAAAAGGACAGCATCAATCAATAATTCTAAAGTTACTTCTGGGACAGTGCAGGAGTCAATAAAAGGCATAGCCCTAACCTCGGAGGGGATAAATTGCAACAATCAAAAAAGAAGCATAAGAACAAGATAGCTCTGTGTCCCTTCCCAAGGACTGACCTGATGAATTTTCTAGTCATGGCTGAGTCTGTTATTCTGTACATTCGTATAGATGATATTTACATACAAATCTGTTAGATGTGATCAAAATATATAGTGAATGCATAACTTTAAAAAATTATTACAGTAAAAGACACACTGGCATAATCTCCATCAAACTTTCCCTCCTTACTTCAAGAACACTTATCCCATTGTTCTTGGGACTTTCTAAAGCAGTTTTGGAAGTCTTTTCCATGAGTGTGTTCATGAGGTATGATAAAAAACATGGCGAATGCTGCTGTTGAGTGCCATCCAACAGGCAGGCAGGCTTCTAAAAGCATTACCTGGTGTCCCCGTTAACTTCATTCATTAGATCTGGCACTTTGGCACTTGGCAACTTCTGGTTCTTCCCCAAAGTTAAAGTGACCATGAAAGGTAAACATTTTGAATCCATTCAGGACATCAAGGCAGTCATGACAGCACAACTAAAGGCATTCATGAAGGAGCACTTCCAGAACTGCTTCAGAAAGTGGCAAGAATGACGGGATAAGTGTGTTTGACACAAGGGGGAATATTTTGAGGGAGGTAAACTGCAATGTGTCTTTAGCTGCAATATATTTTTTAAAAATTTAGATATTCACCATATTTTTCTATCATACCACACCTGTGCATAAAATGTGTAAAGTGTATGTCTTGTCTATATTATATTTGTAATTTACATATGCATGTGTGTATATCTAGTACCAGGTTAAACATTATGTAAGTTCTGCTGTGGTTATTTGTTGTTGTTAATGCTACTGCGCAAAGCTAGGGTTTTGCAGTTGTGGTCTTATCCTCTGCACAAACTGGCATTCTCTTGTATCTTTATGGCAGCTTACTCAAACTCCTTTCACAGGTATTTAGAAGTAATATATTTAGTATTTATTGAAATGAGAGTGTGATTGAATTTATGACTATATAAATTCTTGCTTTAGGTTTGAATGCAAGGAAGTCAATACCTAAATTTTAAAGGAGCAGTGCTTCACATGAGAATTCACTTTTCTATCTGTCCTCTTGGGGGAAGAAGTCCGCCAAGTAAATTTGGATGTAAAAATGAACATTAATGCTGCCACAAAAAGTAACTATGAGAGGGACTGAGAGAGAGAGAGAGAGAGAGAGAGAGAGAGAGAGAGAGAGAGAGAGAGAGAGAGAGAGAGAGAGAGAGAGAGAGAGAGAGAGGGAGATCTTTGCAGTTAACCACTGAGATTTTAAGTTGATTCCCAATAAAAATGGACTAATAATCCATATGATCTTGGACAACCTCTGGACATTGGTTTCCTTAGCTGTGAAACGGCAAAATGGGGAAACTAATGTTGGGATGAAATAAAAGTGTGTTCAAGAAAGCACCTTTGAATCCTTCATGTAAGTCAATATAAATATAGGATATAGTTAGTACTTTTACTTTTTGAAATGTTAGCAATTTAGACTCCTTTCTGTAAAAATGACATGTTGAAGTGATAAATGTGCTTTCGTATATGTATGTTTTATAAAATCACTCCAATATTTGTCAACAAGCATTTGCATATTTTAGATTAATGTAAAAATTATAAACAATATGGTGAAAGTGAATAGCGAAATAATTAGCAGTATGATGTAGCCAATAGATCTGATACGACAAACCTCAAAAACACCAGGTCTGAGTAATCTCAACATGATAGGAAACAAGGACCCCTTCCCTGATGTGAATTTAGAGCGTGCTTAGGGAGACCTGGAGACCTAGAGCTTACTAGAGTGGAGCCTGTACCTCTTTGTGTCAGGTGAAGAGAAAACTGACCAGGGCTGTGTTGCGTGGAGACGCAGTCTTTCGGGCGTTAGCTGCTGGAGGGCGCGTTCTCCCCGCTCACTCCCTCTGGGGGTGCTTCCCACACGCTGGTGATGGAATTCATGTGGAAGCAGGTGCGGAAGTGTTGGGAGGTGGTTCGGATCACCAGCCACTTCTCAACGCCCTGCGTTCCTCACCTCTTAGCTTCAGACGTAGTAGAAGAGAAACGCTCTATTTCTACTCGTGATTAGCAGCTGTTTGTTAAATCATCCATTGGAAAATGTACAAGACACCGAGTATGAAGGCGCAAACCGACACACGCTGCGTTACCTGGAGTCCCGATGCTGAACTGCGGGCTGTTGGGAGAGAAGCTGTTGTGTCTCTGCACTCGGCGGCTCGATCGTTTTCCAGGCCACTGGATGGACAGCACTTCTGGCTTGGCCGGGCCCTGCCTGGAAGCGAGAGAGCGGTGAGCCTCCGTGTCCACCCTGTACTCCTGCCTCTTCACACTTCCGGCACAAAGGTTTTCAGGGTACAGAAGCGAAAACTTCTGAGTAGTACTCCTTGCAACAAGCCCAAGAAACCCAGGGTAATTTGCTTCTATTACGTGTAAATCTGAAAAAGAGAATTCTGGGCTGTCCTCCTTCTAAAAATTAGAAATATAAGTAAAAATTGTATCTTGTAATTAAAAAAAAAACTTTTTTCTTCATTGGCTATACTATTAATAGAAGAAACACTTGTATATATGTCATTATTTTTTGTTTAATTCATTCATAAGTTAATTTTTTTTTTTTCTGTCTTTTGAAACAGGGTCTCATTATGCAGTTCAGCCTGGCCTTGAGCTCACTTTGTAGCCCAGGCTGGTCTTGCACTCGCAACGATCCTCTTGCCTCAGACTCTGGAGTGCTGGGATTACAGCCATCATGCCTGGCTCATAAATTAATTTTTTGATCAAAGTTATGCATCCAAAAAGTCAAATAATTTCAAGAATCTTATTCCAACAAAAAGGAACACCCTTCCTCTATGCCCAGATCATAGCATAAGTGTTAGACTTGTGTTAGTCATTATAATGGCTTATAGGTCTGCTCTACCAAGCTGGAAACTCATGTGCTGGCCTGAAAATTTTTCTTGAATCATTGTTTTGCTAGAGTATCTCCTTTGTTCTCTTTCTGGAAATGCTATTTTTAAAGTATTAGACATCTTGGATTGTCCCTCTCATTTTCTTATTCATTCTTTCCTGTTTTTCATTGCTTTGTGGTGATTTCATCCTATCTTTACACTGAAATCATTCTCAGAGAATTACATTTTTTGCAATTACAATTTCTAAGAGTTCTTTGGTTTCCTTTGAATATTCTTTTGTTTAGCAGCATCCTGTCCTTAATCCACAAATACAGTATCTTTTAGCTTTTTTAAGGTGATGCTTTTCCTTGAAAAATTTCTTCTGTTCCCTGGATTATTTCTGCTTCTTCTGTTTATTTTCTCAGGTTTGATTTGTTCTTTCAGGTCCTGACAGCCCCTGTATTTCAGAGTGAAGACATACAAGGCTGACTGGGGCCTCCTTGTGAATGGCAGGATTGCCAACTCACAGCCTGTACTGCAGGGTGGACTGACTGGGTCTATCTATCGAGGACCCTGACCGCAGGCACCATTACAGTATATACTTTCTCTTGGACAAATCACATCCTTCAGAGAAGCAGCTCCCAACTGGAGGATATGAAGCTGTTGAAGATCTGAAAGCAGAGTGCAAAGGGGGTTTCAGACCTACTGTTCAGTAGGCAGATCTTCAATTAATGCCTTATTTTTAGCATTGTGCCCAGGTTCCTATTTGTGCTCAGCTTTTCTTCCTTTTTCCAGAGAGAACTTTCCTAGGGTTCTTCGGAATGGGAAGGGGCAGTCACAATGCAGCAGTAGACGGAGATTTCAGCACTGTACCAGTCCTCCTGTCACCTTGCCATCAGTCTCACATGTTACAAGCAATTCCTGAGCTTTTCTCAGATTCTCTGATGCTAATTGCTTTGCATCTTGGTTTTTACCAAGCTGATTAAGCTTCAGCTTTGCCAGACTTTTAAATCTGTTTCCACTAGCTTCATCTTCCTTGAAGCATTCCAGCTTCTGCTCCCTTGGCTCTTCTATCTTTATTTTTATCAGTTAATAATCCCCTTTTTCCTTGTAAATTTAACTCTATTTTTGTAAGGTTTAGGGAAGAAGCAAAGTAAACCATATAAATTTAATTTCCAATCTTCAAATATCCCTATAGTTTTTCCTATGGCATAAAAAAGCCAGCTTTCTAGCAGTGTTGGTGGTTATAAGTATTGCTAGTTAGAGCAGTATTTCTCTATGTTCAAATTATGGAACTATCAGCTGTGTCAAGTTCTATAATCACTTGTTGCTGAAATTAAAGCTTTTCTTTATGGTTGTTATAAACTTTGATCAAAAAAGAAAAATAACTTCAAGTCTATAAAGAATCATTCCATATCTCTGGATGTAAAAGAACCTTGAAAAATAGACTAAGCTTGCAGATTCCATCATAAAATGGAAATCCACATATAATTAGACCATGCTTCCAGAAATCTAGTTTTTAAGGAAGAGAAGTTTATGTATGAGGACATGGATCCTCTAGAGGGAAACGTCAGTACCACACAATGATTATTCTTGCCATTGGCTATTAGGTACTTCTGAGAGGCATGGATTAAAGGAGTTCCCATTTAGTCAATTTGCCAAAACAGATACAGAAATTGTTATAGAATGCCATCTGAAAATCTTACCTCTGTGACATCCCAGCTGGACGCATCCCTTCTCTCTGAAATTGCCATTTTCACATGAATAGATTTAGACATTTTGCCCAACAGGGCATGTCTACCTCATTATTGCAAGACGAATGATACTGTACGCTTCTGCCCTGGGGCTGATAAATGGAATATCTGACTTGTCTAAATTTGCTGTACTGTAATGAGTCTTTGTATTCCTATGTTTCTCAAATATTAAATCCCAAAGTAATGTCAGTGCTGGAAGGGAAGCAAATTACTACAACTGTGGGAATTTTAATGAAACTTGCACGTTGCATCTCTTGACTGTGTAGAATGTCATGAAGTCTTCCTTTATAATATAAATGCCTGAAGAGTTTTTGGATACAATGATTTGATCTGTCTTAGACAGCCTGCTCTCCTGTACTTCAAATCATTGTGAGTCCAATTTTCCTTAAGCCTTTATTTCATTATATTGCTCTTCTGTTTACAACCACCAATAGAAAACTATGACAGAGTTCAGTTTGAATGCATATGTCTAATGTCTAAGGTCTTCCTAAACTCCATATGTCAGTGAGATTGGTCTCCTCCTCATCCAGGTCCTAACCCACTGCTCCTCTGGAGGGTTCCCTTTACTTTGATTATCTTTCTTTTGGTCAGTTTCACGTAGTTAAAATGAAGTTGGACCACACAGAGGGAAATAACACAAAGTCCCTCTATCAAGGAACTCAGTATCTAATGGAGAAGGCAAATAAGTAAGGCATATATGAAAGGTATGCAGTGGGAGCTGTCGGTGGTGAAGTAAGAGAATGAAATTCTGTTTCAAGAGCGGTGATGTCTTCCCAGAGAAAGTACTGTTCAGTGGGCAAAGTCAGAGTTAACCAGATAAGTTGTGGGTAAGAGGGGCTGTGTGAGAGATGATGGGGTGAGAGGATAGCATATGGCTGTTTGAATTCATCCAAATGGTCTAATTCAAGTCTGATCTCTCCACAATACCTTGTCGCTGGTCTCTTTATTGATATCACAGCTTTTCTCGCTGTCTTTCTTCACAGGTTCAGTCCCCGGTGCTCTCCTTGCTTTTTTTTTTTTTTTTTTGTGGCCAGCTCAGGGAAGTGTGGCCGTGGGAAAAGTGACAAAGTCTCCCTAGGTCAGGACAACTCTTGCACTTCCATTTGCTTCACTAGAGATCCACATTGGATATTCTGGGCATGAACCTAGAGTGGTTACCTTTTTTCCTAGATGCTTTTCTATTTACCTCCAGGAAGGATAATCACAGATTTGGGCATCTCTGGATGCTTTTGTAAAATACCTTACAGTAATACTCTCCACATGGACGTCAGATTTGCAATAGTTCCCATTATTTCAAACAGTGTTAGAACTAGATATCTAGATGGAAAAGGTTCCTTAATCCTCATGCTTTCTACTTTTCATAGAGTCTATATTTTTATGCTCCTTCTCATCCAACCCAACTGCTATGCAGCTATTGGCAGCAATTACAACAGTTCAAGGCTGATCTGATTTAAAAAAAAAAAAAAATCCAAAGCACAGGGGAAATGGGGGAGCAGAGAGTTTTTCAAGCCTCTTCTCAGGTGGCAAATGACTAATTCTAAGAAAGGAGAACTCATTGTATTTCCAGAAAACTCTAAACAAAAGGCATAACAAAAGAAGCATCATTTCTACTGCAGGATCATGAAATCAATTTCATTATGCTTCAAGACATTTCGTTATCTTCTGCTCAAAGCTGAGGCATTGGGTTGTTGCTTTTTTAAAGCTAACCGTTACAGTTTATCTTTTAATATGGAATCACCTAAAAGTGGAACAGAAAGTCTGTAATGTGAACCCACCAAAGGGCAGATCCTGGTGTGCATCAGCTGCACAAAACTTTTAGAATCTGCAATTAGGAGCTTTTTTGTTAGAACTTGATGTCGACCACTCTTTTTGACAGTGGAAACATGGTTCAAAATTACACTGTTTTTAGGCATGTTGTAATAATTATATATCCATTCACTTGTCTAGAAAAATTGGTCCTAAAGAGTAATCCACTAGCCTGCTCAAAAAACTTAATTGTGCGTTTCTCCTTACTTTATGATCACATGTTAGATAAAGGCACATCTACAGGTTTAAAGTACCATATGACCAAAATTCATCATAAGAGCAAGAGTTTTGCCACACCCTTCATTAACTTGCAAAGTATGAATGATGACAAATCAATAATGTACTAACTGTTGTTAGAATTGCTTTGATATCTACTTTACACATTTCCAATGTAGATGTCTCTTTAGCATTAGTGCTTTTACATAGGTATTTTAATACCACCACTTTTCTTCTCAGTGGTACCTAATGGTAACATTGAACTTTGAAATCTTTCCCTCTTTCACTTTTTCCATTTCTTTAAATAATCAGGCTTATTACATTTTCAAGTCTCCCCAGCATACCCAGCTTCACTTATTCTGTAAGGCTCTTTCTCATCCTTTCTACATTTTCAAATTATACTCATTTGATCAGATGAGATTGGGCGCGTTCAGGGTGGTATGGTCATAGACAATACTCATTTGAAAGAAAAGCTCAAATGTCAAAGAGAAATTTCACGAGATGTACTTTTATCCCTCTAATATTTTAAAATCTTTTATTCTACTAAAACCTATTCACAATTTGCTTTCCTTTCTATATGATATTCATAATACTGTACCTTGCAGTGTAGGGGATTTTTTGCCCATTTTTTTATGTAATAGACTTTTGCTTCTTTAAGGATTAGCACTATGTTAAATTTAAATTGATATCACCTATATTGTCTTTTAAACTCTTCTCTGTCTACTAAATTTTCAATTCCAAATTGCTGAGTAAATGAAGGATATTTAAAAAAGAAGTAAAATGTTTTTTTTAGATGCAAATATCAAGGCAAGTAGCAAGTGGAGCTCCTTGACATTCCATTTAAATCCATTCATTTTCATTTTTCATTCTCATTAGTACAACGATTCTCGGCTGGTTCTCCCCAGGATTAGAATCACTAAGGAGACATCATATGAAAATGTTTAGTTGCCTTTCTTGACGAGTTTGCTCCTCAGTAGTTTCCATGGCACATTCCAGGGAATTCTGGAGAGACTGCAGCTGATTCAAAGTCTCCTTCAATAAAAATCGAGTGACAAACTGTTCCAGATTGGAAGCTTCTTGGTAGTCCTAAGGGTAAAAAACAAGTATATTTAAAAGTACAGTAGGAAAAAAATGACAAGACACTGGTTTCCTTCCATGTGTCCTTTGATCTCAGGCTAATCCTTGAAAAGGAGACAGGAAAGAAGAAAAATGTGTTGGCCCTGGAGTCTGTGGTCGGGCTCAACTCACCTATCAGAAGCAGGGTAGAGAGGCTGCACAAACTTACTAGCCCTGCCTCGAGATTAGGAAATCGGGGAAAACTCGGCAGTACTATGCAATAGACATGTGTAGAAAAATAAAAAAGGAAAAATCCTGGGAAATAATAAATAGGGTTAAAGTGTGACGAACTCAGGTTTTGTTCTGTGTCTCATTTAAATGATGACCATGCCATCAGATCCTTTCTCTATTACCAGCAACATGCAGTTGTGTCTCAGCAATTGGCTTAATTCCCTTGATGTATTTATTATGCTTGATCCATATTATGCTGAAGCCAGAGGAAATTATGCATAGTTATTTTAAAATTCTGAAAATGTTAAGCTTGGAATATTCCAACAGTTTACTAAGTCTGGTCATGTCCCTTGCTGAGCAACTACCTGAAGCTCACTTGCAGCTAACTTCTGGCATAACATTTCCACCACAAAAGCACGATTCCTTTCAGCAGCTTCAGGTCTACGTGAAGCTCACTGCAGGCTTGATGGTTGTAGTGCTTGTCTACGTAGGTGCCTGAGCTCTACGTGGTTGGTACACTTACCCGGCACACTGTGAAGTCTCAGGGAGAACTAAAAAAGAAAACCAGGCCAGCAAGAATGAAATGTCATCAGGACCATTCGGAGATCATAGGACCAGCCAACTAAATCTGATATCCTAGAGTTGTTGGTAGGAATGGTATATTCAAGTTCAGCTAAGGAAAGGATTGATTTAGCTCTGTCCCTAAACAAAATGATTTATGTGTGTGTGTGTGTGTGTGTGTGTGTGTGTGTGTGTGTGTCTGAAACTATAAAATTGAAAGGAGTGAGGGTGAAAAGATAATGCAATGAGTTACAAGGTGCTGTGGACTAAGAGGACATGTTTGTAAACCTAAGCAGACAGGATTTAGTTACTGAACTGCTCTATATCCCAACTTCCTTACTTATAAATCAGGCTAGTAACTCCAGCATATACTCTAAAATAAGAATATTCTGTGTGTCTATTAACTCTAAATTATAAAATATTGAACTGTGACTTCCTGATCTAAATTGCTTTGGAATTGTTCTCTATTAGCAGAACAACCTAATATAATTAAAAAAAAAAACTACACATCTTTCCTAATTTGAAATAGCAAAAGGTGGCATTCATCAGTGTGCTTTTTTAGGACATTCTTTGCAGATGATCAACACAGAAGATTTTTCTTACCCACCATATCTAATAGTATTATTTTAAAATAAAAAATTGTAATATCTTTAAAGTCCTTTTAGAAAACTATAAAGCAAAACATTACATGTTCATGAAAATCATAAGGATTATTATGAGATAAATCAATTTAAAAATACACAGAACACTTGATTTGATCTTATAGTTTGCAGTTTGTTGGCAATAAAAATTTTAAAGCATCATTTTTTGACATAGGGTCTCAGTATGTAGTTCAGGTTACCCTGAAAATCACTATATAGCCCAGGTTGGCTTGGAACTCACGGCAATCCTCCTGCCTCAGCCTCTTTAGTGCTGGGATTATAGGCATGTGTTGCTGCACCCAGATAAAACATCATTTTTAAATGTGCTTTTTAAAATCAAGGCAAATTTCCTTTGAGATGGAAGAAAATACGTAATTAAAAAAAGGTTGTGTTTCATTCCTTTTACATTGTTGTTTGCATTTTGTCAATCCATATTTTTAAAATTTATTAACATCAACACAAAGCATAATACATAGAGATTATGCCAACTACTTTTGCATCTCAGTGTACACTGTGACTAATCCAAAGCAAATGATACATTTTATTTTTATACTGTCTTTTTTAGTAATCTTTTTTCGAGTAAAGTACTGTAGGCAATACCCTAATGAATCTTCACCTCACTCAGTCTACCAATTTAGTAGTAAAAGGTATTGACTGTCATCCATGGGACACAGACTATTCCTGGTTGGGAGGTAGATGCCCTTCAGGAGTCACTATCTAGTTGGATGTCTGGAAAGAGGGAGTTCTGCTTGTTCACTTTGGTCTGAGTGAAAAGTAGAGAACAACTCATTTCGTTATGCCATTTTAAGCACTGAAAAGTGAAGGAAGCATACACTTACTAAGCAATGAAGTAGTGTTGGCCTTACTCTTTTTTCGTTGAAATGTTAAATATTTGTCATGTCAAGCCAGAATTATAGAACACGCAGACATTCTCTGGTTAGCTGACTCAAGTACTCCAGTAATTGCAATTAGATTTTGGCTTCTCAGACACCAAGGTCATGCCTTATACTTCTGGATCCTTTATGGTGCCCCGAGTAGATACCCATTCACTACCTGATTGTTTCACAGATAAACTCCTACCCTAACATTTATCACATTGCTATTGTTGCTCCCACATGCAAAGATTTTGATGCAGTTAAAGTTAGATATCTAGGGAAAGCTAACATCAGACAACTCGCTGCTTCGTCACTGCTTTCTTACAGCCAGTCAGGAAGTTTTGATGATGTTGATGTTTGTACCTCACTTGGATGAGCATTTGCTATCCCCGCCAGCCACCCTTCTGATAACATTATGAAATGTCACAACCCGTTGGTCAATATATTGGGCAGGAATCTTGCTGCCTCAACATTGGTGGTGCGGTAGGTGGGGAGCTGGATTTGAGACATGAATTTTTTTGAGTCAGCTATGCAGGTTTGATGTTGCATGCTGCCCTTAGAGGATAAGGAGAAGAACTTGTTTCCTGATGTTCCTGCTCATCTTTCAGGCTCTGCTCATGCACTGTAGCTCTGCACAGCCTTTCTTTGCCTAGAACCAGCCGCCTCCTCATAGCATCAGGCACAGTTCTCCTCCTTCTGCAATCCTCTAACACCTTTTCCCTTCCCAGGGTATAGGAATGTCACTTTATATTGCAATCTGTTGTTTACTGTTTTTTCCACTTCATTTTAGGTCAGCTCTTCATGGGTAAAGATTATGTCTTATTCATCTGTGCCTCCAGAATGCTCAGAATGAAGCCTGGCTCACAGCAGCTGCCCCATACATGCTTAAAGAGAGTGAGAGGAACATGTGAGGCACCCGCTGTGAAGAGGAAGGTACCCGAAGGAAAGTCTGAGCCCTGGGCTCTGCTCGTCCAGCTGGGCAAGCCCCGGCGCCCCCCTCTGCACCGCACTCTTGTTGTGTGTTGATGCTGTAGCCCAGCTTGCTTGGTCGTGTGGGCTCTGCAATAAGGGGAAATACAACTCTGCTCCTCACAGACTGTTTGCCCTCATTTCATGTTCTGGACCATTTGTTCGTCTTCTCCTTCCCTTCCCTTCTTCTGGATCTTAAGCTTTGGGCCTGCAGACCTAGGTGGAACAAATCCAATCTTGCTTCCTTTCTCTCAGATATGCAGCAGATGTTCCTTTGGAAGTCAGTGGCAAAAGAAGCAGATGGAAAATTAAATGGATAACAAGCTGGGAAATGTCAAAGCCTAGCCCTTTTTATTCTCAACAAATGTGTTGGTTGCGAAGGTACAAAAAGAGATCTTTGGATTCCTCACTCCCCAGAAGGTTTCTACATTGGTGTAAGGTGCACGTCCTTTGTGGAAAACCCAGAATTTGAAAAGCTGGCAGAAAGAACCACTGATCTAATAATGTACTAAATAGTAAATATGCAGATGATACTGACTATCCAGGTTCTGCCTCTTAATTTCAGACACAGCTTTGTCTTTCATGTTTATTAGCAAGAATCTGAGCAAAAGAAAGCTAATGATATATTCTCACCCGTGTAACACTCATGCAAGTCACTGATAAATGTCAATTACATGAATCATTAGGTGGAAATCACTAACAAAGTAACATTAATGCTTCATTTTTGCCTTTGGGAAGCCTGGAGTGTAAACATTTCAATCTTCATATTTTGTGGAGCTAGAACAGGGCAATTCAAGTAAAAATCCTAGCACTGAGAGCATAGTGTTTTGAAAATCAAGTTTCTTAGGGGACTGCCTGTGCATTTTAATTGTCAGATCATTTCTCAGTAAGCAAGCTCTGCCCATCTGGTTGATGGAAGAGAGGAGATCTTAGTTATTAACCCACTATGAATCATCTGAGTTAATTAGGAAAATCAGAGCATGAGACTTCCTTGTTTGTATTCACCCTGTTTGAAAATTAATGAAATTGGTGACATGGAGTCTCAGTGTCTTCTTGTTTATGAGGTCAGAAACGGTCACATTTCGGGGGGTACTGCTTCTAACTGCCTTTTGATCCAAGCCCCTGTGGCTCTTGCCAGTCTTGTGTGAGACAACTGTGCCAGTTTCCCTAACAGGAAAAAGCATCACGCTGCAAGGATAAGGTTACAGTCTTTTTCTTTCACGATCCTTCCCAAAATTGTTACTCTCTTTTTTTATAATAACTAGCATACATACATTACCTATGTCCCACTATTAAATATTTTTAGGTTTCCCTTTGAAACACCACACAGTTTTGTTTTTCAAACAGGAAAAATACTCTAACAAATTTATGATGTAAAAAAAATGAAGAATTGGTTCTTAACTGTCTTAAAAATGGGCTGAGGTTGCCAGGTATAGTGGTGCATGCTTGCAATGCTCTCTGCTCAGGCAGCTGAAGGTCAGAAGTTTGAGGGCAGCCTGAGCAACTTAGCGAGAGCTTGTCTCAAAATAAAAAGAAAAAAAAGAGGGGCTGGGGGTAGAGCTCAGTTCTATATCACTTCCCTAGGGTGTACCAGCACAAAACCCGACTCAACCCTCACCACACATACACACACACACACACACACACACACACACACAAGATAGCAGTTAATTCCAGGTACATCACTGAAAATCTTAAGTGGCAATACAAAAGATCAAAATAATTTCAGTCTACAGATTCCCACGAAGTAAAT